CCGCAGGTTTCAGCAGGGATGCCGCTGCTCCTCTGACCCTGGTCTGGACAGGACGCTTTTCTCTCTGACTGCCTCCGTGCACAGCCTGTTCCTCTGTCTCTATCTGTGTCTCTGGGGGAAATGCCAGCACACAGTAGGCCCTCAATAAGGATTTGTTAATCGAATGAGTGGGAAAACAAACCTTGATTCCCTTCCTGCCTTAATTCTCCTTTTGTTTTGACAAGAAGAGAGGGAGTTTGCTGTCTGCCTTTGCAGGGCTGCTGGCGGTGAGGCAGAGTGTGGGGGTGATGGCTCGTCTTCACCGACTGACCCTGACTTTCTCTTCTGAGCCCTCTGGGCTGGGCTCCACATTGGTACTTGACCACACGTGGTCATGTATGGACGTCTGTCAGCTGGGCCCTCTGTCAGCTGGGCTTCCTTCGTAACGTTAACCAACACTCTTTGAACACTTACTGTGAACTAGATACTGTTCTAAGTACATTTAGTTTTTCACTCATCAAATGCTTATTCAGCACCCACCATGCCTCATGTGCTGGGAAATATGGATACGGTACAGTGAGCACAACGGACAAAGCCGCTGCCTTCATGGAACTTATATTTGATACAAACAAATGAGGAAGTCAGTCCACACTGAGGCAGGTGGTGATGAGTGCTGTGGGAAAACAGATCAGAGTCGGTAAAGGGAGTGACTGGTATTATGTATCAGGAACGACCCACAGATAAAGTAACATCTGAGCAGAGGCCTTAAAGAAGTGAGGAATGGTCATGGGGGTGGGGGAGACCTTTCCAGACAGAGGAAGCAGCGAGTGCAAAGGCCCTGAGGTCAGGGAAGTTCCGGGAAAACCAAGGAGACCAGTGGGCTGGTACGGATGGAGTAAGTGAGCAGGGGAAGGAGTAGGAGATATGGTCATAGAGCACCGCTGGCTACTAGAAATACAGGGTGGGGCCAAAGTAGGTTTATAGTTGTGAGTACACAAAGCACAGAGCTTATTCTTATATTCTTATTTATTAACTAGGGGCCCAGGGCATGAATTTGTGCACCTTGAAAGGAACTGTGGGCCAAGAGGCTGTGGTGGGCACAGGGGCAGGTCTTGGCCCATCCTCCATGCGCCCCCCTTCCCTGTCTGCCAGCAGGCCGCTGCTCCTGCACTGATGGCACCAGCCCCACTCTCACCGGCTGACGGTACTGAGCAATTGAGGCCTGCCCCGTCAGTGGGTGCAATCGCCCCTCAGGAGCAGGGGGAAGTGGAGAAACCTTTAGGGGCGATCAGGGCCAGCAGCCACCGCTCACACCTGCTGATGGTGCCAATTGATCAGGGCGGGCGCCGGCAGCAGATGCAAGCACCGGGTGGGACCACGGTGTGCGGGAGCAAAGAATTTTCAGTAACCACCAGAGGCTCACCCCAGTGACAGTGACCGGTGCCCCTCCTTGGTCTGGTGCTCCCGCTCACCTGCTCCACCATCCTGCCGCGCCCGATGCCCGCCATGTTCCATGCTCTGCCGCCTGCTGCCCATGTTCTGGCGCCCCCATCATAGCGACTGGTTGTTTGGCTGTTTGGTTGTTCCGCCGTTCGATCTATTTCCATGTTAGCCTTTTATTATATAGGATTATTGTGTTATTTTCTGTTGAACAACTGTAAACCTACTTTTGCCTCACCCTGTATAATATGTCACATATGTAATTCTAAATTTTTTAGTATCACATTAAAAAGTAAAAAGAAACAGGTGAAGTTAAGTTATTTAATTTTTAAATTATTTTAAAAAAGATCTGTGTTGCCGAAACCGGTTTGGCTCAGTGGATAGAGCGTCGGTTTGTGGACTGAAGGGTCCCAGGTTTGATTCCGGTCAAGGGCATGTACCTGGGTTGTGGGCATATCTCCAGTGGGAGATGTGCAGGAGGCAGCTGATTGATGTTTCTCTCTCATCGATGTTTCTAACTCTCTAGCTCTCTCTCCCTTCCTCTCTGTAAAAAATCAATAAAAAATATATTAAAAAAAAAAGATCTGTGTTTATTGATTTCAGAGAGAGAAAGGGAGAAGGTGAGATAGAAACATCAATGAGACAGAATCATTGATTGGCTGCCTCCTGCACACCCCCCACTGGGGACCAAGCCTGAAACTTGGCAGGTGCCCTGACTGGGAATCGAACTGTGACCTCCTGGTTCACAGGTTGATGCCCAACCACTGAGCCACACCGGCTGAGCCAAGTGAAATTAATAATACATCTGTTTAACACAGTATCTCCAGACTATTATCACTTCAACATGTGATCAAAGTAAAATATTGTTAGTGAAATGCTTTACACTTTTTTTGTGTAAAGTACTCAAAATCTGGTGTGGACACCTCATTGTAAACGAGCCACATTTCAAGCTCAGTGGCCACATGTGGCTCGTGCTGGACAGCACAGGCCATGCCAAGGCCTCTGAATGAGATGGGAAGTCACTGGGGGCTTCGGGGCCCAGGATCTTTTCTCTGCCTCAGGTTCTAGAACGTGATGAGAGGATGGTTTTGAGGGGAGGGGAGCTGGGCAGGAGGCCTTCTCAGCCCACAGCGGCCAGTGGTGGCTGGGGCCAAGGTGGCAGCCGTGGTGGGGAGAGGTGGATGGATTCCGGATGTATTCTGGAGGTAGAACTGCCAGGTTTTTCTGACGTGGTGTGTGACTGAGAGAGGAGTCCAGGAAGCACCGAGATTTTCGGCCTGAGCCCTGGAAGGGTGCGGCTGTTTTCAGAGGGACGAAGGAGACCGGGGGGCACAGCCTGGGGGGGACAATATGAGGTTTGGTTTGGGGGCATGTGAAGTTTGGGATGCGGTGCCAGCCTTTCAGGTGGAACTAGCAAGCAGGCAGGTGAACATGATTCTGGGGTTCAGTGGGGAGGTCTGATTGGGAATTATTGATGACAGTTAAGGCTGTGAGGTGATATGAGGGCCCGGGGGAGTGGATGCAGGGAGAGCGGGGCTGAGCCTGGTGGAGAAGACAGGACCAGCAGAGCAGGTGGGGGAGCACGGGGAGGCAGCAGGAGGATCGGCAGCCACGAGGAGAAGGTGGAGGGAGCGACCGGCTGTGTCCAGCGGGCCGAGGGGTCCCTGACCACGGACACAGGTGCGAGTGAGGCAAACACCAGCCTGCAGTGGGTTCAGGACAGAATGGGAAGGGAGAAGGAGACTCTGGTATAGATGACTGGTTTGAGGGTTTGCTTTAAAGGGGAGCAGAAAAATAGGGTGGTAGCTTAGCCATGTTTCCTTAAAGATGGACGATGCCGTAGCCAAAGGGGATGTTCTAGAAGACTGGGCAAAATTATCATGCGGGAGAGAGACAACAACGAGAGACCTCATTCGTGCCTGTAGAACGCTCTGAGGCAGGTACTGTTTAGTAGACAGGGAAACTGAGGAAAGGGGGGTACAGCCCTTGCCCAAGGCCACAGCTGATGAGCAGCAGGGCCAGGAGCGACAGAGAGGCTCAGTCTGACTCCTAGGCCTGCGCCTGCCTCTTGGTTTCCTGGCTGGACTGATGAGCTCTCGAGAATGGGAGCCCCTCTTACACTTCTGATCCAACACGGCACCTGGCAGGGGCGGGCCGTGCACAGGTGGGACGTGCTCTCTAATGACCCAGGGACCGGAACCTCGGACTGGCAGTGCTCAGGCTCCTGGGGGGAGGGGGGTGGGGCCATGGGAGGGGAGGTGCGGTGTCAGGTGCCTCACTCACGTCCTTCCCACCTCCTTGCAGGGCCTAGAACGGGGGTGGTGCTCAGTAAGGATGAGAAAGCATTTGTTGGGTGAAGAATGAATGAAAAGATATGGCCCATCCTAAAACCCAAGCCGCTGGTTCTCTGCATTCCGTGGTGGGATCTGGGCGCCTCTGGTTTGCTGCTGGCATGCGGGGTGACCGTGGCCAGCCCTCTGTCCACTCAGGGCCCCAGTGTCCCCACCTGTGAAGTGAAGAAGCAGGGTTAGGTGGTCGCCCATCCGCTCTCAGCAGAGCACCTGAGGGGCAGGTGCGGATCCCTGCCTCCCGCACCGGCTGTCATCAGGACGGACAGGCGCTCTGCAGGTGGGAGCAGCTGGCGGTGGAGGCCGCCTGGCCCCTGTGCTGTGCTTCCTGTGGAACAACTGAGACTTGTGGGGTGGGACCTGGCGATTCCTGGGATCCTGCTTTGTGCCCACGGGCAGCGGCACGAAGCTCAAATCCATGACACTGACTCCGGAGCCCAGCAGCCAGCACGTCTGCCCTGTGGCTGCTCGTGTGCTCAGCCCCTCAGAGTCGGGGACGTGCCTTCAGCCTGCACCTCGCACCACCAGGCTCCCCTCAGAGCTTTCTTGTTAGTGGGTCTGGGCACTAACCAGCTACTAACCAGCTACGGTGGCACCCGTCCCGCCCCGCCCTGCCCCACCCCGCCCCACCCCACTGTGGGGCATTGGAACTGTGTGAGGCAGGCCAGCTCCAGTGGCCATGGTGGTGGGGAGAAGGGTGGCAGGGGTGCTGTTTGTGCCTTGGCTGCTGAAGCTCCCGTGTGAGAATGTGCCCCCCTAAATGCCAGCGGTGTCCCTGCCGGAAGCCTGCTCTCGCCCACTGCTGTGGTGCTCAGGGCCGGCCCGTCTGGGCTTAGCTGCCGCCCAGCCGTGTGATCCTGAGCCAGTCACTGCCCCATTTCCCACATGTGTGAACAGAGCTGTGCATGAACACCAAGTGCTCGCCTTCTCTGCTGTGATGAGTCTTAAATATGACTCTGGAGTAACAACCCTCCTCCTAGGACGTGTGTACTCACCACACGTGTGTACCCTGTGCTAGGCGCTGCCTGAGCACGGCATGGACCTGTCCATCCTTGTTTAACCCTCACCATGCCTGAGGGGAGGCCCTGGTAGGTGGCCCCATTTCACAGACGAGGAAGCTGAGGCAGAGCGTAGGGAAGGCTGAGAGGTGTCCCCAGAGAGCAGGCACTGTGCGGGGAGGGGGGAGTGTCCCAGGCCTGCGCAGCCCTCTGACCTCTCTCCTCTCCCATCCAGGGACCGGGGCGGACCCGGCGGTCAGTGCCAAGAGCAACCACTGCCTGGACGCGGCCAAGGCCTGCAACCTGAACGAGAACTGCAAGAAGCTGCGCTCCTCCTACATCTCCATCTGCAACCGCGAGATCTCGCCCACCGAGCGCTGCAACCGCCGCAAGTGCCACAAGGCCCTGCGCCAGTTCTTCGACCGGGTGCCCAGCGAGTATACCTACCGCATGCTCTTCTGCTCCTGCCAGGACCAGGCGTGTGCCGAGCGCCGCCGGCAGACCATCCTGCCCAGCTGCTCCTACGAGGACAAGGAGAAGCCCAACTGCCTGGACCTGCGCAGCGTGTGCCGGACCGACCACCTGTGCCGGTAAGAATGACCACCCTGCGGGGTGTCACAGGCGGGAGCCCTCCCTTCCCGCATCCCCTGGGTCTGCTGGGTTATGATCCTGGGCCCAGCAAAGACTTGGGCATGTGCAGAATAAACTGTCATCCACATCCCTCCCTCCTCCCCTCCCTCCCTCCCTCCCTCCCTCCCTCCCTCCCTCCCTCCCTTCCTCCCTCCCTCCCTCCCTCCCTCCTTCAGCACAGGCCTGTTGTTGCCTTCTCTGTGCCCAGCCTCATGCTAAGCATCCTGGGGAAACCCAGGTGAGAACCCGAGGAGCTGGTAATTTAAATCACAGGCCCTGAGAGCCAGGAAGAGGAAGGCTCTTCAGGAACCCAGTCCCGCCTCTATCGGAAATCCCCCGGTATCCCCATGAGGTCATGTGGCCGTCAGGGAGGGGCTCCTGGGGGCACGTAGGCAGGTTCTTCCCCATCAAGAGCCGAGCCCATCTGGGGTCTGAGAGTTCTGGGTTTGAATCCAGGCTTTTTGACTTCCTGTCTGTCGCTGGAGCAAGATTTTTAAATGTCCCCCTTCTCCATCCCTTTACCCGTAAAACAGGAATAAAAGTACCCGTGTCCCAGGGTTACTGTGACTACATGATGTGTGTCCAAAGCTTAGCACAGAGCCTGGCCACTAGCATATGTTTAAAAAGTGCAGCCTAATTATTAGGAGGGTTTTGCTGCTGTTACGGTGAGTTGAAATTTGCCTCTTTATGATTCTCTTGCTTTTCTTGTTTGTTGCTAAGCATTTATCGGGCCCTCTCGCATGCAGTGCAGGTTCTAAGGCCTGGGCGTGCAGAGTGAGCACGATGCTCTCTTATCACCTAAGGAGCATCCAGTCCAGAAAGGAAGCCAGACAGGAGAGCAGTGGTCCCAGGGCAGTGGGACAAGGGCCGAGGGCGCCCCAGGAGGGAGCACAGGGGAGGGAGGGGCATCCCCCTTACCCTGGGGGTCCAGAGAAGCGGGGATCTTGAGCTGAACCTTGGAAAGTGGGAGGGAGAAAGCCAGGGAGTAAGTCAGCTGGCAAAGCACATACAAAGGCTGGAGGGCAGGAGGGCACTGGCAGGTGGTGGGCACGTACGGAGTGTGGGCCACGCGGTGGGGAGGCGAGCGAGGCTGCTGGAGAAACAGGGCTCACATTGTGCAGAAAGCGAGTGCCTACCATCTACCAGGCACCGTCCATCCTGTGGTTCATCTCTCTTAATCCTCGCAGCAGGGCTGCACCGAGGTAGGCACTGCTACCATCTCTGTTGCCAAATGCAGAGCCAGGAATAGAAGTGACCCGCCTGAGGTCACCCAGCACATGCATGTCAGGCTGGGATCCGGTCGAGCTGCCTTCGTCCCCGTGTAGCACACGGGCCTGGGCTACGATAGTGGCTGTGGCGATGGAGGGGGGTGTGTCGTTTCAGAGCTGATGGGTAAGTAGACTTGACAGGACTGGGTGACTGGTCGAAGTTCCCTGGAGGCAAAGCCGTTTCTGTTTTGTTAGCCCTCACCCCATCCTGCATGTGGAGCCTGGCGTGTGGTGAGCATGGCACAGACATCACTCGAATGGATACATGGCTGGTGACCGCAGTGTTTCCTGGGTGAATGACTACAGGGCGATGGGGCCATTCAGCATGTGTGGGGTGTTGGGCGTGCAGTGTTGGAGGTGCCTGGATGCGTGGGCTTGGCGCTCAGTGCAGGGGCCAGAGCAGAGAGGTGGGTTGGGACTTGCTGGGAGCCTCGCTGGTGATTAAAGCCACGGCAGTGAATGAGATGTGGGGGGGGGGGGGGGAGGCTGGTAGAGCCCATGAGGGAGGCTAGGCAGGAGATGCCTGCCGATCTAGGCATCCCTCAGTGCTGAGGTGGTAAGAGAAGCACCAAGTCTTAACGGAGGGACACAGGAAGAGGAGCCTGCGACAGGGAGGCTTGGGGGGCTCAGGACAGCCAGGGACAGTGGGCCAGAACCCAGAAGAGGAGGGGTTCCTGAGGGAGGGAGGGAGGGAGTGGCATGGTGCCTCACAGAGTGTGTGTGCGAGTGAGAGGGCATGAGAGCATATATGTGTGTGAGTGTGTAGGTATGTGTGAGTGTGAGAGTATGTGAGGGTGTGCATGTATGAAAGTTTGCAGGTGTGTGAGTGTATATGTGTGAGTGAGAGGGTGTGAGAGTCTGTATTTTTGTGAGCGTGTGAGTATGTGTGTATGTGTGTGTATGTGAGTGTGTGTGGAGGGTGGAAGCCCATTACAGTGGGAGGCTTGGCAGGGAGGCAGAAGTTGAGGCAGTGGGTGCAGACCGCCTTGTGAGAAGGGCCAGGCAGGCAGGGGGTGGGACGGGGGGCTGCAGAGGAAGGGGAGGCCTTCTTTGTCCCAGGGGAGCGCTGGGCTGTGTGCACACGGAAGGGATGGGCTCCCTGGTTTGGAACAGGTGCTGCTGGAGTTGAGTGGAGAGCTGCTCCCCATTGCTGGCTGCAGGTCTTGGGAAAGCCCTGCTTTTTAAAACATATGCACCTTGTCACCAAAAAAATACGCACAACGAATTGAGGCGATTTAAAATCAAACTATGCGTAAACGGTAGGGCGGTTAGAAGCCCGGAAAGGCCGGGAGCAGTGCCGGGGGAGCGCTGGGCTTCCTGGTGGCCGGGAAAGACCAGAGAATCACGGGCAGCTCGACCCCCACACTTGGTGGAAGGGGCACGTAATTCCTGCAGGAAGACGCGTTCCCTCCTCGTTCAGATGCTGCCGCGATGCTGTCAGGCCTCCTCACACACAGCACAGCGAATGACAGGATGGACGGGGAACTGGGCCTCGAAGGAGGGCCGGCCTGGGGCCCAGCCCAGTGACACCGGTGGTGCCTCTCGACCCAGGGACCCTCTGGGCCACGTGCTCCCGAGGTCCAGCGGGCTGCAGCCAGGCCCACCCGGATGTTACCGCGGAGTCCCGGGCAGAGGGACAACATGAACACCAGCACCCTCTTTATTGCCGGTGCTTCAAGGAGGGACAGTATGTGCGTCTTCTGAGGTGTCTGTGGCCGGATCGGGCGGGCGAGCTGGGCGCAGGCCGGTTTTGGAGGCCTGTAGAACATCTGCGCCTGTTGGAAGAGCCAGAGACGTCCTTTGTTTGTTATTCTGGAGGTGGGGGAGCCAGGAACGGGAGAAGTGGGGGTACATTTCACATGTAGAAGGAAAAAGGTGTTACGATGGGACTCAGTGCTGGGCGGGGTGGTGTGGGAGGTGGGTTTGAAGGAGAAGAGCTGGCCTCTTTCCACGCGCTTGCGGGCCGGACTTACTGACCCGTGGACCCTGGGGATCCATGGAGGAGTCGGGGGCGATGGGTGGCTGGAGAGGGGCACCTGGAGAAATGCCCGGGAAGGAGGGCACTCCCTTCCCTTCTGGCCTGTCTTCCACCCGGTGTCCCCCCCCAGGGCGGGCACCACAGGGAAGGGAACTAGGGACCCCCAAGCCTTCCTTTCCTGGATACTTTAAGGACACAGCTGGCCTGTCGGGGTGGCAGGAGAGCCTTTCCTGGCTGACTCTGGGAATGAGGCCTCGTCCTCGGGCGTCTCCTGGAATGTACCCCGTGCTCCAGGGCTGCAGCGCCCAGTCCTGCTTGGCCCCCTCACCCCTCTGCTCGGGGAGTTGGCCCAGCTTCTTTCTGAGGGAATCTCGGGCCAGGATTCCTAGGATCGGTCGGCCGGAGCCCACCGCAGCTGCACTATATGAGACCAAGTGTGTGACGTCAGTGGTATACGTCACAGACGCCCTGGCTGACTTAGGAGGTGTCCCTCACCACGGGGCGTTCGGGTTGGACGAGGTCTTTGGTTGCACAAGGATGTGTCCTTGCTCGGACCCCGTGGTTATTAGAAGCACCTCCAAGTCCCCCCTTTGGACCAGCATCAGTTTGGGGTGAGCGTGGAAGCTTCCTGCTCTAGCCAGGGTCCCGGCTGGTCCTGGAGGTGCAGCCTGGGCCTCTCACCCTTGTCTGGTTCCCACGCACGAGCCTTCGGGTCTGTGGGCTTAAGTCCAACAGAGGCTTGTCCTTTAAAAAGTCCTGACATGGAGTCTGGAAAGCCCAAGGGTCTCTTGGAATGAATCCATGGGATTTGGCTGAATTCTCTCGCCCAGCCCCCCAGTGGGCTATGGCCTCTTTTTTTGTTTTGTTTCTACTTTCAGCTGACACACTCATCACAAGGATGGGTGTAGAGGTCTAGATCATGTGTGTGAGCGTGTATGTATGTGTGTGAGCGCATGTGCATGTGTGTATGTATGTATATATGTGTATGTGTGTATGTGTGTGTATATATGTGTGTGTGGTATATATGCATGTGTGAGTGCATGTGCGTGTGTGTATGTATGCATGTTAGTGTGTATGTGTGTGTATATGTGTGTGTGAGTATGCATGCGTGTGTAGTATATATTCATGTGTGAGTGTGCGTGTTTGTGTGTGTGTGTGTCTTTGGTGTGTGTGTGCGGATGGGGGCTGTGGGAAAGAGGGTTCTGTGTCCTGTGAGCTGTGTTCCTTCTAGGCCTGTGTGGAAGAGGCCGCTGAAATGCCCTGCTCCTCTGGGTCTGTTGAGAGGCTATAAATAGCAGGGCTCTGGCCCCACGCCATATCCTGGCTGCAGTTTAACCTCTGGGTGCTGGGGATGTGTATAAATAGACCCAGCCTGGGGCTGCCCTGCTGCCCGCACCCCTTTGTGCAGCAGACACTGTCCTCGTCTGAGAGGAGTGCTGAGAAGGCAGAGGGCTTGGGGTCCCCTCCCTCAAGGCGATCTGCAGGGAGTAGGGGAGAAGCCCTTCAGCAAGCCCCCTCTTGCGGAGCTGGGGGCGCGCCTGGTGCCTGTAGGCAGTGTGGATGGACAGGTCTGGGTGTGATTCCTGGCTCCTGGGGGCTGTCCCTCAGCTGCTTTGGACTCTGTAGAACCCGTAGGCTGATGTGTTTAGCAGGCTCTCTCTAAAGAGCAGCAAACGGTTATTTACATAGTGGCAGGTGGGCTGTGGGGGTCCCA